CTTGCCCTCTAGCCCCTCCTCGTGTGTGATGAATGCGGTTTGCAACATAAGCAGGACGCGATCGAGTAAACCATGGACAACTTCGAAACCACTGGTTTTGCCGTACCAGGCTGCTGCAAAATGACGCTCATTTCGCGATTTACGCTCCAAGGTCAAATCTTTAAACGCAACATCAGACACTTCAAAGACTTTGAGGGGGAGACTGTGTTTCTTATTTTCACGGATGGTTTTAAGGAGACCGGGGAGGAGTGATGTGCGGACAACTTGATATTCAGCGGTCTTGGGGTTGGCAAGTCGAACAGCTGTAGTGCCATCATCTTTGCGGTTGAGCCAAGCGAAATTCTCGTCGTGAGAGCAGAGAATTAGAGGCATGACTTCGCTCCAGCCTGCCATGGCGGTTTCCGTTCTAACTATGTCACCAAGTTTGTTGATTGGGAGGGGTTGAGCAATTGTGGAGGCTTTGTTTGGGGATGTACGGGGAAGATTGTTGAAGCCGTAAGCAATAGCCACGTCTTCCATGATGTCACATTGGTGAAGAACATCGGCTCTGGTTGTTGGTATCGAAACATCCAGTAAATTCTTATCCTCTGAGGAGGGTTTCGCGGATAAGCACATTTTCTTGAGAAGCTCACATATCTTTTCTGGGGATTCTGAGAGACCACAGCAGTTGTTGATATAGTCGACCTCAGCCTCAGTTTCCCGTGGGCTAAGATTGGGAGTTGTTCGGGTTTCCTGGTTGTGCTCCGAAATAATCTCGACGGGCTCAATTGTGAATGGTTCCGCGCAGTATTGAGAGAACATAGAAACTATGATATTGTTTACGATTTCTAGTTTTGTGCGGTCCGTACCAGTCATCTCAATGAAAACATTCTTGGTATTCAAAGTAATCTTGGAATGATCTCCGTTAATGATTGGAGGCATAGACATGACAGTGCGATTTGAGTCGTAAATAACTGGATATACTGGTTTGTCCCGAATAATGTGTAGGTATTTTCCCAAGTGTTTGTCGTTCTCATAAAATTGCATTAATTCCTCCGCGTTCATCTCCTTAGTTTGGTTCAAAGGCGTGAAAACGATATCTTTTGGTGGAAGTGCCTCGTATGTGAAAGGTCCTTTGACTGTATCCATATCATGTGTACCAATCGCAACCAAGGTGCGCTGTCGGGCAAGATTCTGGTGTAGTTTGTCTTGCAGCGAGATGAAGGAGTCATAACCATCTTGAGTGAAAGTAACGTTTCGCAGAATCGACGCCGAGACGTATGGTCGCACTTTCATAGTATCTTGGTGAACTGTCAAGGTCTCTAAATTTCCACTCTCAGGTTTGACCAATCTATAGTTTGGGAAGGGTGTCTTCTCTCTGAAGACATTCAGCATGAGAGCTATGCCCTCAAAACAGAGCATATCATATCGATTCGCGGGGATTTCGATTTTAAGTTGTGCAGGCTCTTGCTTTCCGTTGACTATTGGTCTTTCCGAATTTGTTGTATCCTCGTCCAATTCAATTCCAAATTCGAAACATAACTCTTCGAACTCTTCTGTGGTATATCTGGGGTTCAATTTAGTTTACTACAACATATATGGCAAGCTGCGAAGTCACAGAAATTGTTTACTCACTCTTGCCCGAGAGCTTCGTAGAGCTTCGCTTTATCAACGCTGATCGTGGGCATCTTGACTGATTAGTTGCGGTTGCAATATTTGCTTCACAGTTTCTTGAATCAATATGAGCAATGAGTTAAGGTTATGAGTCGAAATAATTATTGGTGGGGTTGTATCAGAGGGGTCTGAACTGAGAGGTATACGTTTATGCCTGAGGCTCATATATCAATGGGTCAATGGTTGATTCTCAAAGGTTCAAACTCACCGAGAGCTGTCGCTGCCAACCAACATTAAATCTACCACCTCTTCTGAATTCTAAAGCGTTTGTCCAGCACCGCTACTTTAAATTTCAATTTCATCCTCTTTGCGGAAGTGTGTTTTAAAGGTACCTTTCCAATAATTTCTTTCACTATCAAATCGAAGTCTGGATCTGTTTACAAAGAGTCCTTCGCTGCTTCCCCCACCATATGCCACCCAGATATCTCGTAGACCTCACTGACATGTCATCGGCAGTCCCTAGGTCTGGATTATATCATAAGATTTATTCACCTCTCCCGCTTTTTCTTAGTCCCGGAGATTAATTACGAAGTTCCGTCAATCTATCAACAGGAACCTACGACCACGCGATAACCTCCTAAATATTCTCAACCACGAAATACAGAGTAAACAAATCCAACACCACACCTTATTAAACCTCCGAATTCACTCCATAAAGACTTTTACATATCTTCACAATGGCGGACGCTCCAGATAAGACTGACGAGCTCTATCCCATAGCTGTTCTCATTGATGAATTAAAGGTATTGAACCAAGGCGCATCACCCTTCAAGGGACAAGGCTTTGTTGCGCAGTACTGATAGCTTACTAGCATGACGACGTTACTTTAAGACTGAATGCCATTCATCGACTGTCAACGATTGCCCTCGCACTCGGAGCAGATCGCACAAGAGACGAGTTGATTCCCTTCTTAGATGGTATGGCGTGCGATATGGAACTATATTTTAGTACGATGGTTGACGATATTATGTAGAATCCGTCGAAGACGAAGACGAAGTTCTCACAGCTTTGAGCGAGGAACTCGGAAACTTTGTAGAATATGTTGGCGGGCCAGAGTTCGGCCATGTTCTTCTGTCACCCCTCGAGAACCTCGCGGCCATCGAGGAACCCCTGGTTCGAGAAAAGGTTTGTCAATAGTAGTGACATGTAGTTATAATTATGCTGACTGGATTAGGCTGTGGAATCTTTAAACAAGATATGCGAGGAGCTATCCTCACAACAAGTCGAAGAGTACTTCATTCCCCTCACGATTCGACTTTCAAAAGCCGACTGGTTCACCTCAAAGATCTCTGCCACAGGATTATATAACGTACCATACAAAAAGGCGTCGCCTCCAATGCAAGAGCAGCTCAGGCAACAATTTGGCCTTTTAGTTCATGACGAAACCCCCATGGTCCGAAGACAATCTGCAAACAACTTGTCGAAATTTGTGAAGGAAATGCCCGCTACAATAGTTGTGGAAGAAATGATACCCTTGTTCCAACACCTTGCCGGCGACGACCAGGATAGTGTACGTTTATTGACAGTAGAGATTTTGATTGCAATTGCGGAAGTCGTACCAAAGGAGCAGCAATCAAGCCATGGAGTTCTACTCACAGCCTTGAGGAGTTTAATCGAAGATAAAAGTTGGAGAGTGAGGTATATGGTAGCTGATAGATTCGAGAAGGTTGGTTTTACACGGATTGTACAATTCTGGTAGACAGTGCTAATGCAGTATAGATTGCAAAAGCGGTTGACGATGAAGTTGTAACAAGAGATCTTGTACCAGCATTCGTCAAGTTGTTGAAAGACAGTGAAGCAGAAGTACGTACAGCAATTGCTGGTCAAATCCCTGGTATGTCTGGTCATTCCTGTTTTCCAAGATATCACACTAAACAAAAGGAAAGGTTTCTGCAAGCTTGTCGATCACACTACTCTCTTAAACGATATCATGACTACTGTCGAAGATCTGGTTTCTGATACTTCTCAACACGTTCGGGCTGCTCTTGGTACCCAGATCAGTGGTCTTGCACCAATTCTTGGCAAGCAAGAGTAGGTTTTTACATCCACAGTTTATGATCTTTATGCTTACAAGCTCTACAGAACCATCGATCACTTGCTCCCGATGTTCTTGCAAATGCTCAAAGATGAATTCCCAGATGTCCGTTTACACATAATCTCCAAGTTGGAGTTGGTGAACCAAGTCATTGGCATTGATCTCCTCTCACAATCCCTTCTTCCTGCTATTGTACAGCTTGCTGAGGATAAACAATGGCGTGTTCGCTTGGCAATCATTGAGTACATTCCTCTATTGGCCAGCCAACTCGGTGTTCAATTCTTCGATGAGAAGTTGGCTGCTCTCTGCATGGGCTGGCTTGGAGATACAGTCTTCTCTATCCGTGATGCGGCAACAAAGAATTTGAAGAAGCTCACCGAAGTTTTTGGCGTCGATTGGGCAAATGAAGCCATCATTCCAAAAGTTATGGCTATGGGAGCCCATCCAAATTATCTTTACAGAATGACCACCTGCTTTGCAATTACAGTAAGCTTCAGATTTTATCCCTTGCTCAAAATATTCTAACCCTATCCACAGACACTTGCGCAAGTCGTCAGTCTCGATGTTGTCTCAAATTCTATCCTACCTATGATGGACAAATTAGTAGCCGACGAGATTCCAAATATTCGTTTCAATGTCGCCAAATCATACTCTGAGATTATCTCAGTTCTCAAGAGATTGCCAGATGAGGGTACCGTGTATTCGCTAGAGAAGTCTGGTAGCTCAGAACCGCCTTCGGCTAGAGGTCAAGAACTTATCCAAGAAAGAATTCTACCAAATTTGGAAAAGTTGCAAAAGGATGATGATGTCGATGTTCGGTTCTTTGCTACTACGGCTGCAGCTTCTATTTCTGGTGAACCTATGGAAACCTCATAGATAGGGAGGTAAAGATGTCGCATATGGGAACAAAAATGTTTCTTCTTTGATCCAGTTAGGTTGAGCATGGTGGCCTTGCTGTTTTCCTGTTATTCTAGATCGGAGCATGAAATGCAGCATAGTCCCTTCTAATAAGTTTTTGATAAGCAACCTCCCTCATCTGCAGATGGTAGGCGATACAACCGTAGAGAAACAAACCAAATGAGAACGATATACTGAATTATTCAATGCTTGTGATCAATGAATTGTGAACCACGCATCTCTCGACTATAGCAGTGCGGTTTCTCAAGGGTCTCGACTTTCTTAGGCGGTGAACCAAATTATTCTGCCGCTATCGAGGATACCCACCCTCATTACCCTCATGCCATTCATCTCCTGCACAACATCTTCCCTCAAGACTGAGTAAAATTGCAATTGAAAAATATTACGTTTCAGAATGACTTCAGAAGCATCTAAACCATCACATCTCGATCCATCAGCTCTAGGCACAAAAGAATAGTAAGTATGTCTTATGCGCTCTACAGATGATTTACCCCTCCATACTACCCCTCTATTACACAAATTTTCTCCTTTTTCGCACCGTACTTGCTACCCAGCACACTCGCATCCTTCTCTCTAATATTCAAAGCCATATTCGTTAACAAAGAAGCTTAGTTGGGATAATCTCTATAATCGTGAAATATCAAACCACGAACTCGATGCGACGGATGTAGGAACTATATGGTTTGATGATTCATCTGCAGAAGATAAAGTCGTAGATTTCTTGAACGGAGAGATTTTCGAGAAGGATTTATTAGGATTGGGAAAAGGGAGGAGGAGGAACGATTTTGGACTACTGGATCTAGGGACAGGAAACGGCCATTTTTTGGTTAGGCTGAGGGAGGGGGAGGAGGATAGTGATGAGGATGAGGATGAGGCGGAGGAAGAGGAAGAGACAGAGAAAGGGAGAGAAAGGGAGGCCCCGGGAGAAAAATGGGTGGGAAGAATGATGGGTGTGGATTATTCGGAGAGATCTATTGAATTTGCGAAACGAATTGCGAAGGATAAACTAGAGGAAGGGGAGGAAGAGGGAACCGAACAGGGAAACGAAATCGAATTCATCACCTGGGATATAATGAAAGAAGATCCATCTCCAAAAGTTCTTAATGGAGAACAGGCAAAAGGATGGGATATAGTGCTTGACAAAGGGACATTCGATGCTATTAGTTTGTCAGAGGAGACAGATGCGAATGGGAAGAGGATTTTCGAGGGATATAAGGAGAAAGTACTGGCATTAGTGAGAACTGGCGGAGTGGCGGTTGTTACGAGTTGCAATTGGACAGAGGAGGAACTGATTGAGTGGTTTGTTGGAAAGGGAGAGGAGGAGCAGGGAGAAAGGTTTGAGGTACTGAGGAAGATTGAGTATAGAAGTTTTAGTTTTGGAGGAGTGAAGGGCCAGACGGTGTGTAGTGTTTGTTTTAGGAAATGTGGAGGGAGCGAATAGATGGATACCGGGAAAATGGTACTCAGAAGGTTGTCCTGAGGGCTAAGGCTTGTGGGTGTGGTTTGAAGGATGCAATCTCGGAGGGGCCATAGGCTCTCCCTAACCACCCTCGAAGCCAGATGGCGTAGAACACTACAAAGATGAATACTGGAGGCCAAGATTGGATGATTCCCAATGCAATACGACACAAATTCTCTATGTAAATCCCGCACGAGTGGTGCTTGAATGGGAAGTTCTTCCCATATTCCAAGCATGATGTGTACAATTTTTCATTTCATCGAAATGTTCTGGGAAGCACAAATATTCAAGAAATTGGAGTCTGAAGTCTGAAGTCTGAAGTTTCGCTTCCAATTGGTCTCACAGTTCACTTACTGTGATGTCTCTGTGAATATATGAAGTGTCAATTATGTTCTATATAGTTCTGTCAAGTACATATATGACACGAAAGGCTTCTTTATAGTAGAAATTGAAGCACAGTTCCTATTTCGAATAGTGAAGTACTGCTCGTCTCAAGTGACAACTGAACTCTATGCCTAAAACCTCCATTAGAATTATGCTTCTCAATATACAAGGTTATTAACCCACCAAAGCCGGATTCATTTATACCTATAACACTTTTCGATGCCTCAGATGTGACAATCGCTCAAACGCTCTTGTAGGTCATTTTGATATGCACCGTGTGCGGTTCGTTACGGTCATCGAGGCCTTCAAGCTCCCGAGTGCAATTTAAATGATTGCGACGTCAACACGCAGCTGCTAATGCGTCATGGTCCTCGAGATATAGAAGCTCGAAGCCCATGTTGCACGAAATTCGTGTGTGAGACGTTGTTTCTTCCGGGTCAGGAATTCATTCCAGTCATTCCGATTTAGTCCATTCGTTATTTCCTCCCATTCTACTTTTTCTTGTTGTTCCCAACATTGCCAGTCGCATTATTTCTAGGTTCGCTGAGGCCAGCACGTCTTAATCTCCCGAAGAACTTTCCATCCTTCAATTTCTCTTTCGATACCATGAAAATTGCCCTATAAATCGGTCCCATATCATGAGGACCACATGGTCGTGCATCACCACTTGCCTTACGTTTTTCAAAAAAATGACTGGAAACAGGATTTAATTGCCGTTTCGACAGTCATTTCCTTGGGGGTCTCATCTTCTGAGACTGGAGTGTCTGAGCTTACATGATGCTCCAAGTCTCCCTCAGACTCGAGCTCTTCAAACTCCGGTGTTTCAGTCAATATTGGTGAAGACACTATCGTACCTTTAATCCGAGAAGCTTCCTCCAACGTAAAATAAGGTCCACCGATATAGAGTTCATCAGTTGTATTCTGAGTTCGTGCCTGGGCTGCGTGATCGTTGGCGATGTTGTGCAGGTCGTGGAGGAGAACATGAATCTATTGGCCAATTAGAAATCTTCGGTGGTTGAAGACGACAAGGAGCAAGGGACAGGGGATCAGGAAAACCCACTTTATACCAAAGATCATGATCTGCTTGAAGATCTGACATGTTATGTGTAGAAGCACTCGCGTGCTCTGAACAAAGCTATTCATCAATTGACTTTTCTTCTTGCTCATGTTTGGTATACCCGCTCTGACTGTCTTGAGTTTTGAAATAATATTTATATGTGGGTGTGAGACTAGAAGTCATTATGAATAGACTAGTGGATGGGCTAATGGAATTGTTTTAGTAGTTCTCAGCGAACTACCGACATGTTCACCGCGAGTAGAATCGTAACAAAGCTCACCGGGGAACTTCCTACAATCATCCCATATTTATTTCTCGAGAGTAATTTCTTCTTGCATACAACTCTGAGCTCGTACGATTGTCATTCGATGTTAAAATGGGAATACTTTATATTCTATTGAGTTGACAATAAATTACTGGTAAGGCTAGGCTAGTGCTTACTCTTTGGGATCGGTGGTACCGATAAAATAGAAGAAGCCTTGCATGCAGGGCTGACAGCCTTGTCAGCAATATTACATAATCTCTTCTAGATGAGCATCTATCAATGAACTCGTCGACTCTCAACCACAAGCATCAGTTTCCCCAAACATTTCCTATATTAAATTCCTCTGAAAGATGGCGCCAGTAAATAATGACGATCACAATGTCGTTACGAGTAAGTTTTCATAATCCACATACTCTACGATCATCATACTAACACTTACAGATGAAATCAAGAACGTTATCCAAGACTTGTATGAAATCATGATACAAACGCATAATTACGACAGCGTTGGACGACCAACTCGTGATATTCTTGAGAAGTCTCTCATCCAACTCTCAACTTCTCTCCAGATCGTTTCTCATGCCACGGTTCCCGCTGGGCCTCCGACCGGGAAACCTCAATTTGATAGGGTTGCAGGAAAGGCCACGGATCTCGCATATGTTCCACAGGATGTGATACATTACATTGATAATGGGCGAAATCCAGACATTTATACGAGAGAGTTTGTGGAGGCAGCGAGAAAAAACAATCAATTGATGAGGGGCAAGATGCAAGCGTTTGGAGATTTCAGGGATGTACTTGCCGGAGAGATGGAAAAGGTGTTTCCAGAGTTGGAGGATGATATTAGGATGGTTGTAGAATATACTACCGATGATAAGGAGAAAAAATAAGTGGGCGCTGTGTGGCTACACTACATGGATGAGAATAGCTTGTGAGGATCTGGGAGTGCGACGGGAAGGCGGGAAATGGAAACAACATCACATCTGCAGAGTGAAACAACGGGAGAAAGGGAGTTTATCAGAGAGGACAGGTTTCTTGCCGGGTGAATAGAGTTCCTTAGGAATTAGGATACTAGGCTTATGGCGCATTCAAGGGCTGGATTCGCATGGAGTTCCGGAAACTACAAATGTGGGACATTGGAGTCATGGGCAATCGAACGAATGGAACATGATACCAACCTGATGGTAATCAGGACCAAAGGAGTTTCGGTACAAGTACCGATCGGCTACAAAGGATGTTCATGGCACAGATGACATCAATCAGGTAGCTCATCTCATTTATTCATTTTCTGATATCACAATTCAGTAGTGGGACGAAAACAGATATGTGTATGCAAATCATGGGAGTAATCATTTTTTGGTTTTGATTGACTTTTCTTTTCTGTAGGTAGGATACAGGGTACAGATAGAGAGCAGTTCCAGGCATATATCTCTTTATCGATGATGCAATAAACGCCCCCAAATTGAAAAAACAGACAAGCAACGAGGAAATACCTATGCTGCCGTCCATATAACGAAGTTTCTCCTTCACGCCAAACCAAAATCCCATATCGCTCAACACAGAAGAGCCCTGAAGCTTGCATGTAGAAAATGGTAGCAGAAAAAAAGACTCTCAGGAAATCCATCCCCATGCATGCTGTCTCTCAAAAACACTTGGATCCCTAATATAACTCCAATCTCCGAATCTCCTATCTCCAAACCAACCTCTTGTACTCAGTCCTTTTGCAAGGCCCTCCATAAATAAAGCAGAACATGATATAAGATATAATTCCCAAGCCCAAGTCCAAATCCAGAATGTAAATTTTATAAATTCTCCCTTATAGATTTTCAAAAACAGTTTCGATGACATCCACCGTAACCCTCACAATATATTCAATATCCTCTTTCGTAACCAAATAATTCGGCGACAACATGATGTGATCTCCACACATGCCATCTACCGTGCCTGTCCCAGGATATATTGTCATATTATATGGGTGTGAGATAGCTAGATCGTGTATCTTTTGCGCAATGCTTAGTTTGGGTTCGAAAGCTACTTTGCTCTTTTTGTCTTTCACAAATTCAATGCCCCAGAAAAGTCCTCTTCCACGGATATCTCCCACGTTGGGATGGTCGGAAAGATGTTGTTTGAGAAGTTTGCCGAGGTATGCACCTTGCGTGCGGACATTTTCGAGGACGTCATGCTGACGGATGATACGTTGGACTTCTAGGGCAGCAGCGGCTTGAACAGGCATTCCTTGGTATGTTTGTCCGTGGATAAACTGTCCAGTACCGTTGTAGAGAACATTGACGACTTTTTGCGAAATCAGTACGCCGGCAACCGGTTGGTAGCCGCCGCCGAGTCCTTTCCCAATAGTTTGGAGATCGGGAACGACGTTTTCGGATTGCCATGCGTGCAGAGTTCCGGTGCGACCCATGCCACACATGACTTCGTCGAGGATGAATAGCGCGCCGTGGCGATGACATACGTCGCGCATAGCTTTTAGGTAGCCGGGGAGAGCAGCGACGCAGCCGAGCGCTGCGCCGACGACGGGTTCGGCACAGAAGCCGATGACAGTTTCGGGACCAAGTTCCTGAAACTTGGCTTCGAGTTCGGCGGCTTTGCGAGAAACAAATGATGCGTCGGATTCGTTGGCGAGACGTTGGCGATAGGGATTGCAGGAAGACACGTGATGGACGTTGGGCATTAGGAAGGGGGCATAGGGTGCGCGGCGTGCTTTGTGGCCTGACATGCCCAATGCGCCTAGAGTGTTGCCATGATATGAACCTTCTCGAGCAATGAAGTTGACTCGTGGAGTAGATTTGTCTTTTTCGTAAAAGTACTGTCGTGCCAATTTGCATGTGGCTTCCATAGCCTCGGATCCTACGTTGAATTAGCTTGGGTTACATCCACATCGATGGTTGGCTGTGTAGCTAACTTACCTGAACCAGTCAAATAGACTCGGGCCATTTTTCGGCCAGTGCCATTTATCAGTTCTTCGCAAAGATCGTCCACAGTCTCGTGGCCAAAGAATCCCGAGGCTAAGTATGGAATGCCGGACGCCATCTGCTGGAAAACGGCATTGGTGACTCGCTTGTTGCCATGCCCTAAACATGAGACAGCGGCGCCGGATGTGGCATCAAATATGACTCGTCCGTCTTTAGTGTAAAGATTGCTTCCACTTCCTCGTACGATGACTGGGAATTCTTTATGGAGATGTCGATCAAGTAGGAATGTGGTTCTCTTCATGCCAAGTTGAACGGCTCTTCCATTCATATATGATGAAGATCCATTACTCATCGCCTTGGTGTTGGCGATATATGCATCTTCTCTATGCGCTTCTGCGATGGCAGCTGGCGACATGGTGAATGATGTCTAGAGAGTATAGTTTGGGCTATGAAGTAAGGAGAAGGGAAGAAGTAGAAGTAAGAATAGACAAGTAATATATGTTGTCGGCGGCAGATATGCTCATGAGTTCGAAGTCTTGATATATAGAAGCCAAAGTCGGTGAGAGATATGCAAACTATTCTTGGAAAATACTTAATAAGAAGGAGATTCGGAAGTCCCGATGGGAAAAGTCACCTTAATATATGGTCAAGACAGCATGCGGGTAGTAGCATGATGACGGGAGGAAGAGAAGAAGGAAACCTAGATGGGTCAACAGGAACCGGGATAAGGGCATACAAGAATGGGTCGAGGGGGTGCTAGATTCCGGAGTGGAGATGAGAATATGAAGTTGGGTGAGAGGTGAAATGTACGAGAGAAGTTGATAAGTTGAACAAGAGAATATGATAGGACGATGGCCGATCAAAGTTTAATGCAACTTGCCTTTAGTTAGATTAGCCTCACTGGAGAATAGGAAAAGATCTGGATCAAAAAAGCACAGGATCCTTGCTTTCCACGGTTAGCATGGCGCGGTAGATGTAATTTCTGCTCTACATTGGTGGGGTGGACCGATGAAGGCAGAAGATGCCCTGACGCTAAATTTTGATGGCAATTGACGTTAAACTTTCAACGGAGACATTAGGGACCAGGTGGTAAGATAGTAAGTGCTATTAGTTACGAAGATACCAAGATAACAGAGTACTCGAATACTAGAAATATACTTTTCGAAGAACATGACATGACTAGTTAGTAATTCGCCAAAGGTGGTTAGCATGAACTTATATTCAAGGTATTTGTTTGGTCGTTTAATAATCGATGAAGGGGTAGAGTGAAAGGAATGTGTGTGCTGTATTGATTGACCCGATTGCGTGGTATGGTATGAGAGCACCAAGCACGAGCACGAGCACGAACATGAGTATGAGTATGAGAATGAGAATGAGAATGAGAATGAGAGCATTAACATGAGCAAGAAAATATTGAGGGGAGAGAAAGGTGTCCGACGAAAGGAACGAGCTCGAGCCAAGAAGACGTGTCAATCAAAGTCCCATCCGATGGTTTAGATCCTGATGCACAGCTATGTGACCGCTCACCGCACTTACTCCTTGACCATAGCCGGGTAAAACTGTTCCCATCAGAGACATTCGATCCGGGGATGTGGGTGATGGCACGAAATGGGCATATCTTTGAGGCACAAAATCTGGTGAAGCACGAAGCCCGGCCACATATGCGGCCGGGAGCCCATAGCCGCTCTCCAATGGGATGTTTACCATGTCGTTTTATCGGTTGCTCAAACGAGTCGGGGGGTGAGGGCGGGGGGGAGGCAAAGAAGAAGTATTGTTTGGTTGCCTTGACATGAAGATCTCCGAAAAGTACGCAGCTTCCTTTGTAAGGATGAAGCAGGAATGGAAGTGGAAGTGGAAATGGAAATGGAAATGGAAAGATTTGTGATTCGATTTCTGGTCACGATATCAATAAAGTTGACGATTGCTTCGTAGGATTAATAACAAGCCGATATTTATTTTCCCCCAATTGTCCTTTGGTTCCGCCACGGTACGTACCGTCCTCTTCTTTCTACCCATTTTACTATCAAAAAATGGGTCTCCACTTCCCGAGTATCTACTACCTACCAACCAAAACTACCTACCGACTGATGAATCTCTCTACCTTGCTTGATGCATAATATGATCGAGAGGGTGTGTACTGCACGCGTAGAGATCTAGATTTAATTTTGATTTGATTTTGGTTTGATTTTGGTTTGATTTTGGTTTGATTTTGGTTTTATCTTGATTTTATTTCCATTTTTTATTTATCCTTTACTTTACTTGACTTGACTGATTAACTTTTATGCTTTTCGTTTCTGTCGATTTTGTCCGATAAACGCAGGGCAAGGGGCGGCCGAACAACTAAAACTAGGCAGTTGGTTAATCACTTGGGTTCAAATATTGATTAATGAGATGGATTCTCGAATGATTTGATTTATTGTGATTTGACTAAATTTTTGAGTTTGATTGAATTTTTCAGATCCTATTTGCCAGAGGAGGAAAAACAAAAGAGAAAGTGGCCATAGAGCGACGGGGAAAGGTCCATCCAGTCAAATCCTTGGAAAAGGATAAGAAGGGGTGTGAGAACCGTTGAAAAAGAACCTATGAGGGGATATTTCGAAATGCATATGTGTATGTATGTCAGTATGTATGTATGTTATGTTGCTGTGTATGTATGTTGTATGTATGTATGTAGTCAGTGGCATATCATTTGCAGTCTCTAGAGGCTGTCTGTCTGTCATCTTATGCGGATTGTTACAAACGCCTAGAGATCGTGGAATGTGATTGATCACCTTTCTCCCCTTTGGGTTACTCAAGTGCGAAACCCATCATTGGGATTTTTACGCCCCCAAATATATCTTTGTAATAGATCCATACGGATTAGTCCTTTGGTCGCTTGGCCTTTTGCTCTTTAGTTTCTTGTACTCTTTCGGAACCTTTTTTCCCCAATGACCTCGAAATGATGCTCCATGAGGTAATACACTCTACTCAGATCGAGTGCAGGAACCATGCGATACATCGAAATTTCGAAAGATTTATATGTGGTTAAGGTACGTTGCCGAGATTTTCCATTTCGTGAATCTTGTCCACTCACTGCTATATCGTACACATCGGTGCGGTAGTAACAATCGGCTAATTTGTATTTTGCGAAAACCTGATACAGAGATACTTATGGTCGTACTGTACATCTCGGTCGTCAGTTTTAATATACAATACATCTATTGTACGAGTTGTAGCCAGGTTCTCGTCAACTGGGCAGCAGTACAGAATTCGATTGATCCGCTTTTCATTCAAGGCGAGACCTTTGAGATTTCAATCAAGAAGAGCACGAAGCCGTGATATCTAGATCTTTGCATAAAGCGGTAGCCAACCGGGTCTAGTTTGTTGGAACGTTTTTGTACTCCTTCTCATCAGCTGATAATATCATAAAACGAATAAAAATACAAATGCAGTATTGAATTCGAGAGACATCACATTTCCAGACGTTTTAAGATCGATCAAACATAAGCAATGTAGGCAACAATTGGTTTGATTTTGGTTTCCAAAAAATTCCATCATAATATCAATAACTTCATTTTGCCCATTTTCCTTTCTTGATTATTTGATAGGTGTGGATTATTTTTTCTCATTTTTTTCCCCATCGAATCACATCAAAACCCTATTTGTATCAGTCAAATTAAGGTACAACTGCGGGTAAGAAGTAATCACTATATTTTCACGGAGGTTTACTTTGCTTGCCTTTTCTGATGCTTGCTGGCCATGAATTTATGCCTGCGACCCTCCTATCTCCTTACCTTTTTCAATTTGCACGACGATGGGCCCAAGTCCTTCCTTCCTTTACTAGCTATCTACATAGCGATATCTGATTTGCGGCCCAACAGCTCATGAATCACGCGGCCATGATTTATGCAGCACTGCAGCTGCATGACAGATTATGGAAAAGATTGTGGAAGAAAAGAGAAGCAAGGCAGGAGAGCGGTGTCCCAAAAAATGAAAGCATAATGCGTACTCTATTGCAGAAGCTCGGTGATTTTCGTATAATGCCATGGTCCGTCCACTTATCCATCGTTGCAGCATATGTAGGAATGAACGTGAAATCATTCGGTGATCAATGATCATACGCATACACATGCGCATACGTAGGATCAGAACAAGGGTGGATGAAAGAACTGACGATTCTTGACTTAACCCCTTGTCATTCCATGTGTGATACCCAAAATGAGACGGACCCTCATTCGAGTTCATTCCGGCTGTCTGGCACCATTTCAAGGCTTGGGCTTACTTCCATGAATAGGGATCTGAAAATATACCCCGTAGCCTCGTATCCAATACACAATTAACAGAAAAACATGCCATTTAGTCATTGCCGACTTTTATCGGCTTCGGGCATCATTCCTTCGGCATCCCGAACATAGGCTTGCCGAGTACGGTTGTAGATCCAGAAAATTTCCGGAGAGTGGGGAATCTGTAGAGGCCTAGAATAGCTATCGGCTTCTTTTCCTTTCTTTGAGGATCATCATCAGACACTATCGAGACTATCCACATCGAGTCAAGGGTCCAAATCTGAGCCCATTGGCCAGATTATTGTAGGTATGTTCAGAAATCGGGAAAGAATGTATGAATAGCCTCGGCAGATGTCTGAGTACTGTCGTATCAATTGATGTTTTGCTTGTAAGAGAATAGGGTCCACTCTTGCTCTCGAACTCTGCTAAGGACGGTGAAGGGGGTTTGATCATAAGATTCAACTCTTGATCTGCTTCGAGATGATATATGATTGCATGGGAAGACACCCCTTTAAAATATCTGAAGTGTGGCGGATGTGCCTACAGTGGCTGCAGGAATAAGTTCATTAGCGTTAGATTGGACTTTTGAATCTCAGCCCCGAAGGCCACAGACTGTATTTTAAATTGTTTCTGACTTAATGATCAATTCCCAGTGCCCAGTGCCCAGTGCCCAGTGCTCAGTGCCCAGTCTCCTAATGTGTACGTGGCACCCAATCGTATCACGGTGCCGTGCGGTAAAGAATACGATGTATAGTGGTTAAATGTTGAGTCAGGTTAGGGTAATGAAACTGCCGGCACTCAGACTTGTGATGGTTCAATTCCGCGATTCGGATTAGAAAGCATACACATTCACATATCCACATATTATATGATTACACATATGAAAGACTAAAAAGCTTGTCTGAGACTCTGAGGTGAGGTTCATAGATTAGCGTGCTTTGATACCCATTACATAAGCCAGCAAGGTGACCTGCAGGTACCTACTAGGTAATTATTGAATCATATCATCAACGAATGATGATGACGCGGGCGTTTTAGTGGTCTCTAACCTACGCACTGCACCTTCCAATTTCGATGTTCTTCTTCATACAGCTCATTCATACATCTCATACAACTCACACACACATCTTTGATACCTTTCTGCAGTTTATCTCATCTGGATCCTGAACCTGGTCTCCAACAATTCCCTTTTTAAATTGTCAGGTAATGATAGCCAGCCATCGTTGAATATTTCCGACCTATCCGGGATACACACGATTCGGGGAAAATGTCGGTATCTAGATATCTCCCGTTTGCTTCAAGGACAACAGACGCGCAAGCAGTGACTTATCTTTTGGCCGTGTGTCTTTTTTCGATCTCCTTTTTAGTTTTTCTCAATAGTAGCGTGTCATTCGTTATCACTGATCTCATTGGAGTAAAAGAAGGCGTGGGGGATCTGGCGGGCACTCTCGTACGACACCCTAAATGTCAATTATCTTTAAAAATTGAAAATACTTACTCGTTCTTAGGGGTTTGCGGATGAATTGGTTGCTTTGTTAGCTTGTCCCGCGTGGGGAATTCTTAGTGATAGACTCGGTGTTCGGGTGGTTTGCGTTCTAGGGTACCTCATTGTTGGCCTTGCATTGATCTTATTCGTGCAAGCAAAGAATGTCTTCCCACAACTATTACTTGCGAGATTATTCTTTTCTGTGGGGGGAGCTGCTACGTGAGTTCATTCCGAGCGACATAATACGCGCATGCTAACCGAGATTGGAGTGCGACGATGGTGACCGCAATCCTACCTTCAATGTCTGCCCGAGAGACCAACGATTCGCAGAGTTCCCCTATTTCGAGATCAGCCTTGCCGGAGAACGTCCGCCATAGTATTGCGACTGAGTCTATAGATTCCGAGATTACCATAACCCCTACCAATTATAATGATCGACGTGGGACCCCCCTTGGCGGCCACTCAAAATCCATGAAGCAAACCGGATCGAGCCCCCCGCGTTTGGCCGGCTTGGTTGGATTATTTACAGGTTGCGGGGCACTTGTGGCACTGATTGCATTCTTGCCATTGCCAGCGCAATTCTCGCGGATGAAAGGGGTATCCCAAGGCCAAGCGGTGGCCGATAGTTTCTACGTGGTTGGAGTTGTATCACTCATGGTTTCTTGCTTCTGCTTTATTGGTCTCCGAGGCTTGGCAGGCGAAGAAGGTAAAGGGTGGCGCCTACTTCTCGGTAGGTCAATAGCCAGAGACACTGTGGGACATTCTGGAGGACGAGAAGACACGGAGGAGTTTCAGCCATATTGGACACTAATATCAGATTCAACAATTTTAGGATTTAAAGATGCACAAATAGGTCTTGGTTATTTAGGAGGATTTGTCGCACGTGCCTCATCAGTTGGCATATCACTTTTTATTCCACTTTATATTAACTCATATTTCATTGGACATGGATTCTGTCAAGGATCTCCAAATGATCCATCACCTGAACTCAAGAAGGAATGCCGTAGAGCATATGTTCTTGCCGCCGAGTTGACTGGAGCATCTCAATTGGTCGCTTTGCTTTGTGCTCCGTTATTCGGCTATCTCTCAGATCGCTACCGTCGTTTCAATATACCGCTTCTCACAGCGAGCGTTTTTGGTGTGATTGGATACATAGGTTTTGCTCAGCTTGTTAGCCCTGAACCACAGGATATCAATGGTAGAGGAGGAAGTCCGGTAGTATTTGTTATGGTCGCCTTGATTGGCATCAGTCAAATAGGGGCGGTAAGTTCCTCTATGCATTTCTTCTGAGTTTTCAAACTCATCGTCGGCTATACACGTCGTTCCATCTCACGATTTATTTACGTGCTAAGCTAACTTAATATCTTGAACAGATTGTCTGCAGCCTCGGCTTACTAGGAAGGGGTGTGCTTGGTGAGGAAGGTGGCTACAATTTATCATCCCAGCTTCAAGATGCGAGGAGCGATGAGAACACTGACTCACGCGACATAACAACCGAAACAGCACCGCTTCTTGCGCCTCCATCATTACCCAAGAACCCTTCAAGAAAACATCTCAAAGGATCTATAGCTGGTGTTTACTCTCTATCCGGAGGTGCTGCGATTCTACTACTCACTAAACTTGGTGGTTACCTTTTCGATAATCTTTCCACGGGTGCTCCATTTTATATGATGGCAATATTTAACGCAATACTTCTAGTTGTTGGCATTGGAGCTGGCGTTTACCGCGAAATCAGAACAGCTCAAAAACATCGATGAGCTCATCATTTTGATCTTTGGCATCAATATTTTTGTGCCTTCACTTCACATGCGCTTGGTAAGATTTCCCACAGGGAGCCCAAGAGTGCTTCAATATTGTGGGGATAATGATAATATAATAATAATAATCGTCATTGTTATCTGAAAAGGATGTGTCAATACTATCTATTTCATTTCGAATATCCTTCAGTCTAGCCCCATATCAGGCGAGACCAAGACCTACTACATCAATACTCCTTGATTGAGCTTATTCTGCGAAACTGACATGTCGATCACGGGCTCTACGATTTTCGTTTGTGCCTCGGTTTCTGAATGATCCACTTCGAGACTCCTGAGGCATTTCGTCAGATAGTGGAAGGTACTCTATGCCATTCTCAACATTCCCTTCCGCACTTCCAGACTTGGTCTTTGCTGTCTTGTGCAAACGATTATGTCTCTTACTGGGTTTTGATAATTCCTCTTTGGAAACACCCGTGTCATCGCTGGGATTCAAAGCAAAACGCTTGGAGTAGTTGCTGGGACCGTCAAATGAGTCAGAATCATAAGGATTATTCGCCGGAAAGTTCTCTATCGCTGGCCCTTTTGCTTCCAAATATTGCCTATTAAATTCCCGACTGGGATTGCCGCCGAGATCTATAAAACTTGCTATTGAGTTCTGATTGTACAGCTTGATAGTATCGCATCGTAGACATGTGCGCCATTCGAGGTTGTAGCCGTGCTTTGGACATGCATCTGTGTCTCTGTGGGCCGTATCCGAAAGTTGAGGGTTCATATTGACAGGAAAACTGTACTGATCTGTAAAAGAGAACCAAAAGCCCTTGTGGTCTAAACAGCAGCTAAAGCAATAACTATGAAGTCCCTGAGAGTTATCTGAAAGAAGAAAAAAGGTTGTCTTTTTTTTGTGGTTGTACTTGAGGACATAGGCTGGCATAAAGAAATGAAAACAGTCACTACACACTTGCTCACACATTCTATAATCTTTCTACACTCTTTGAAGGACATTTTCCCTTTCTTTGTGCTTGGTGTTTAATTTCTGTTTTCTTCCCCTTTTGAAGCTGCCTTGGTTTAATGACGGCCTTATTAACCTTCTTCTCTGCTATTGCTCCTTTCGTCAATCTTTTCTTCGTAATTCATGAGAAAGACACACAGCCATTGGTGCACAACAAAGCTCATGAGACACAGCATGACAACAATCATCACGTTTTTTTGCAGTTGCTCACAAGATCACATGTGTGTATTCAACAGGTAAATAAAAAGATGCTGGGCCAAAAACTCTCCTAAAGCTTCGGGGTCGGAATGATTCTTCTCTCGATTATTATCTGAGCGAACGGGCTGTACCAAGTTTTCGGAACGGAATATAGGAGATTTGTTGTTTCTTATGAAGCTTCCATTGATAACATGATTTTATTTCTACTCATTAAATAATTCATCTGGTTACTATCATGGTCTCGACAATTGAAGAATGATAAAGTTCGGTGTGTCAAGTATGATTTGATATAGGTATGTAACGTACTTCTAACCTCTTACGTGCTCAAGCAGTATAAAGAAAATGAATTGATAAAAGGACAGATTTTGCATTAATGTTCTCCAACGGGAGGGAAGTAAATGAATAGATGAGTAAATGAGTAAATAAGTAAAATCGCCATTCATACCCAGTTAGGTAGGTACCTACCTACCTTGAGCCTAGGTAGCTTACTTTAGTACCTGTAGATCTTCCCCAGTTTATCTCCCCCAACCCCAAGGACCAACGTCATCAAAACACAACATACGACGTTCTTCCTGATTGATGCCATACTCCCTACAAATCTATTACAAGAACATCTTGCTTTCAACTTTACCTATCTATCTATCTATCTATCTATCTAATAATTAAAGCGACGGGGACAATTCAAAGTCACATTCTTCCGCGCCTTGATTAAATCTGAACACCCGTCGGAATAAATTATTGACAGGTGGGAAAACGATATAACCCATTTCTCGTTCCAGAACACAAAGTACAGCCTACTAGGCACCTATTTGGATACACAAAAGGTACAACATCTTGGAACTAAAACTACTTTGTCAAACCAACCTGTCAAACTTACATATTTCCGATGCGAGAATACCAATTGAACCCAATCTGAAGAACGAACAACTACACACCTACCAATAACCAGTTTTTCTTCACCTCTCATCTGCATTCTACATCTACACTTCCGATCCTGCAGAAATATATCTCAAGGACAACATCCGCGTGTCATTCAGGAACCTGATAGATATCCTCTTACACCTAAGAAGCACATTTGATTCGCAAGAAATGTCGGGCATACCGCGATATAATAATGCACCACTAAATGCACGATCGGGTGTTCCTGTCCCTCCCATCGGGCCTTCAACATCCTCTGAAACGGCCGCGCCTGCATCATCATCAGAACCTCTGAACAACAGCAACCCCACCACGACATTACCCTCATCCTCCTCGTATCCACGAGCGCAACCCGCAGCTGCCGTGCCCATTCCTACCGGGCTTGCAAACTCGCAACGTTACGCCCCTCCCCCCGCAGCTTCAGTTACGACGGCCAAAACAGAGCCAACGCGCACGATAAAAGAAGATTCCGATGTACCGCCTGCACCCCAACCAGGTGCTTTCCCCAAGCCGACTACTGGGTTCGAGGGAAATACGTTCGCATCGCAAACTAAATCTGTGCCTCTGCCTCCCAGAGCGGGGTCTTCATATGCTGACAATCACAATGCGACTCCTTCAATGTCACCCAATTCAAGTGCGGGGCAAGTTGGGACGGGGGAGAATCATACAGAATACCCCCCTCAGATGATGATTCCGCCGCCAAGCGTCACCCGCGCAACGTTTTCGACGACGATGACGATAGATGCGAACACGGCAGCTCAGACATCGGGTTCATATGGGACAATGCACCCTCAACCGGTTTCTGTTGGCGATACATATGCTCATCGTACACAGCAGGAAAACGAGGGATATGGACAGCGACGCAGTGTGGAATACCTGGAGCATCCACCGGGATACGTGCAGAATGCGTATGCGGCTGAACTGAGCAGTGATCAGAGGAGAGCAATGGATGTGAATGAGAGGAGAGAAAATGCCAGTGTAGGTGGGGTGATTAGTGGGGGTGATGAGGAGGGGATCTGGGGGAGTGCAAAGAGGTGGGTTGGGAGTGCCGGAACTAAGTTGAGCGAGGGGGAAAAGGAAGTTTGGAGGAGGATTAATGGGGAGTAAAGTTTACTAGGCTTGCTGGAGGTTTGGTGGAGTGGGATCATGGGTTCTACGATAGATATGATGATACGATACGTTACGATACCAGACGTGAATATTCGATAAGATGGTGTACGATTGTGTATGATTAGGTAGCAGTAGACTGATACATTTACAGCTACAAAGGTTGTTCGGGTAAAGTACTTTTATACAGGGAATATCACTCTTTTTAATAGAATACTTTATGGGAGCCTATTGTCTGATATGAGCCAGTGCGCAAGCCACTTCAAACGAATTGATCTGGATAGTGTGCAGACAATCCAATACAGTACCGTAGGCAGATACAGCAAGTATCAGCCTCTATACAAATGAAGATAAGCAAATTGTTGACACTGATAAGAATAGAAGCAGAACCCCTATCACTTGGGGCAACATGTATCCATCATCACTGGGTTTGAGTGTGAGCGAGAGTAGTATTGTACGAACACAAGTATAGCTGTGAGAAGTTTCGTCACGGTACATAGCATCGCTCCCGTCATCATAGCATTCGAGGCTTGGAGGATTTGCACAAGGAGTACGAGAGTATGCGATCCTAGAATGGAGAAGTGCTGACGGAATGTTTTACAAACAATAGAAGAAAGGGGGGAAAAGTCGGTGTTCGCAGACTTGGTATCAGGGAGGAAGCTTACTTGTTGTAGATTAGGAATTTAGCTGGTGATCAATCAATTGAAAGTTTGACACCCCCGTAATTCGAGAAGGGAAAGAGAAGGATACGCGCACTTGCAGCGTCATCGATACATTTTCCCCCTTGTGAGCAAGGGGGAAAGGTAAAGCAGGGGGAGGTCATGGATGAGTGGGTAGGGCGGGTTGATCTTCATATTTGATGTGTTATATTGATAGGGGTGACAACGTAATCCACAGTGGAGAGAAGATATCAGATAAACGCCCGAGTCGAGTATATCTGCATGAATTTCGCGTACCGATCGGGACGACTGTGGAAATTGAATTGTAATGAGTGCTTGGGCTTGTGTGCTCGAAAGGGAAGAAAGGTGGATAATGGGTGTGAGAAGGGGATGGGAATCGGAGTTCCCCCCGCATGGAAGCTGCAAAGGGAAGGAATGATGTAGGGGCGGTGTGGCTGTGAAGACATGGGATGATGTTCGTCTTGCCTTTGGGAAGTGATGTCGTTTCGCGGTTTGAGAAAGATTGATATGTTGTCGTCTGATAGCGTTCGAAGTAGATTTGCACATGACATTTTGGGATATAACGATATTAAGGTCTCTTAGCGGAGGGACGGGATGACAGAATCGCAATGACCGTTTGGAATAGATAAATTATAGCCTTCCTTCTAGTCGCATGAGTTGAGATTTAGTGCGAAAAGATTATCTGCTAGAAGGATATCAGAGAATTCTAGAATGATAAGGTGGGTAGGCGGTGCACGGGATGATACAGTAGTCGAGTGGAAAAGGCTAGAGCTACAGCTAGTGACCTGCCCTGCCCTGCCCTACCCTGCCCTACGAAACAGCTGAGTCCCGAAACAGGTGCTGGGTGGATTAGACAAAGTGGAGTGAAGCGGGTGATCGGATTTCGGATGAATTGAGAAAAGGGTCATAGCGGGGGATTGTTTGGGAAACCACGGTGCTTCCGTAAAGGTTAGATTGAGGCAAGTGATTTTAGACGCTTAGGATGAGAAAATAGATGAGAAGGTTGTTAGATGAAGAGCCTCTAGTAACCTTATTTTGGCAAAGTGTGTGAGAGTTTGATTACCTCAAAATGGGCACCTGACTTGACC